GATGGCCTCATTTCCGCGCTTCCGCTGGTTCCGAATCGTGGTCCCGCTGCAGCGCTGGCGTCATTATTTGCAGCGCCATGCCACGGCATGGTTTTCGGTCCTTCCAAGTAGGCCCCAAAATTTAGAAAATGCCCCCCCAAGCAACCATCGCAAGTGATCACACATTCGGTATCGATTCGTTGATTTTTGGGGCCGCAGAAGCCCCCCCCCACTTTGGGGCGTCGCCACGCCATGCGATGTTAGGCTACGCGTTGATCTACAACACTATGCTATGCCATGTAATGCTATGCCCTGCTACGACATCCGACTGTGCGGATAGAGAGGAGATCTACGCCATGGTGAGGGATGGGAGGGAGGGGTAGGACGTCAGACATGACGCGAGCGCACCTAGCTTGCCCCTCCCCCCTCCCTCCTCCTCCTCCTCCTCCTCCTCTCCTCCCCTCCTCCTCCTCCTCCTCCTCCTCCTCCCTCCTCATCCTCCTCCCCCCTCCCCCCTCCCCCCTCCCCCCTCCCCCCTCCCCCTCCCTCTCCTCCTCCTCTCCTCCTCTCCTCCTCCTCCTCCTCCTCCTCCTCCTCCTCCCTTGGGGGAAGGCCTTCGATGGTCCCTGCCCTGTTTGGAGGACTGTTGAGAGTCCCTTGGAAGCCATAGGCTTTTCTCTGTCCTGTCTGCGGTGGGACCTTGGGGACCTTTCTTCTTTCACCCTTTCGGGGTGGTTCATGACCTTGGGGACCTTTCTTCTTTCACCCTCACCTCCCCCTCCCTCTTCTAGAGGGTTATTCGGGCGTGTGCTTGCAGGATCTTGGAGGGGAAGGCGGGTGACACATATGCTTCAGGATCCAGGCAATGCTTCGATGTCGTTCTGGAGAGCTTGGTGTCCAGGCAGTATTCTGCCCTGGACAAAGGGCTGCATGCGTACTGCGGCTTGCCGAGTGGCCTGGCCCCTCTCCCGCGCTGTGGAAGCGGGCAGCCAGGAGGCACCACGCTTCGTCGATTGCGGTCTTGCAGGGCCCACGAAGCTGGGCGGAAAGAATTGGCACCGAGGAAACTTTCGGAGCACGCCAGGCGAGACGGCTTGCCTGCGCCGGAAAAGCTGCAGCTTGAGACAGTATCCTTCCCTCATCCTGGCGATTGGTGGCCCAACCCCCCCGGAGAGGAGGAAGCCATCCCGGCGCAAGTGTTTCATGGCTTTGACGGTGCAGATCAGGCCTCGCAGGGAGGGGACATATTTGCTGGCATCGCTGTGCGCTCGGACGAGAGGCGTGTTCTGACGTTTTCCTGGATGGTTGTTTTCGGAAGACTTTCATAAAAGAGCTTTGGAGGGCTGGTATAGAACCGGTAAGCTCTGGGATGACGGCCAGTTGCTCGCCATTATGTATGGGCTTCTGTCTTCCAGGTGCCCTCTGACCAGTCAGGGGGCTGCGTTTGGGGCCCCAGCTTTCACGGCCGCGTACCTGTCTGCTCAGAATGTCCGTTTCAAATGTGGCTGAAAAGGATGTTGTGAAGCTCTGGTCCTTCTCCCGACCTGAGCGGTATTCTTACGAGAGAGTGTATGAGGGCTTATTCTTACCTTACCCGCTGACGCCTTGTCCGACGGCGTGATTTCAGATGTGGACGACGTTGTTGCCCACCCAGAATTATACGTCTCGTTGCATGCTGAAGAGTTGCATCATTGTAGGGTGAATGACTGGGCGGACAGGCGGCCAAGCCTGGAGCTGCCCTGAGCCCAGACGCGTCGGAGGCTGAACGCCGATGCGCGGACCACATCGTTGCCGTCTCGAGGGCTGTGGTCAAGCTCTCAGCCAAGATTTTTCCTCTCTGGCCACGCATCTGTCTGGATGGAGTCCAGCTGGTCAAGAGGTCTCAGTAGGAGGGTGACCCGCCACCGGCATCCCGCGAGTAGATGCTGGTCGGCATGCCGCCTGGCACGTTCTGGCAATGACCTCAATGTCTTCGAGACTCCCGCTCGGCTTTGAAGCCGCCCAGCGGCAGGTGCACCAGGCACCTTTGTGTCCGCCCGTAGGCCTTGCGGGATCTTTGGACACAGTTGCGTTGTGCTGCACTGTAGTGACGATTCGTTTGTTTGCGTCTGTCGGGTTTGTGGAGCTTTCATCTCAGATGAGCGGCTCGCGAAGCTGGGTGCGCGGCTCAAGCCTCTTGCTCACCCGCACAGGAGCGAGACATGGAGAAGGCCTGGCAAAGGTCTCCACCCGAAGAGGGACGGCCCCATTTAGGTTGGAGTCGCTGGCCTTGGATGTCAAACAAATCCCTCTCCCTGCGCTTTCCCCCCCCCCTCCTCCTCCTCCTCCTCCTCCTCCTCCTCCTCCTCCACAATTACTCAATATGAATACTACTCTCCCTCTTCCCCTGATGACGGTTTGAAAGTGTACCACCCCCCCGCGTACTGGTTTTTTACACAGGTTTCCCTGGAGTTGGGTTTTCGCCTGCATTTTTTTCAAAATGCTGCTCTCGCTGAGGCGCCGGCCTCATTTTCGGGCCCCGCTCGTTCCGAATCGTGCTCCCGCTGCAGCGCTGGCCTCATTTCCGTGCTTCCGCTGTTCCGAATCGTGCTCCCGCTGCAGCGCTGGCCTCATTTCCGCGCTTCCGCTCGTTTCGACTCGTGCTCCCGCTGCAGCGCTGGCGTCATTTCCCGTGCCATGCCACGGCATGCAATGCAATGCTAGGTTGATACTACGCTTTGCGGTGCTCTTCTACGCCATGCCATGCCGTGCTCTACAATGCATCGCGTACCCTTTCGGGATCATTGCCCTGCTCGACATCCGACTGTGCGAGTAGAGAGGGGATCTGCGCCATGGTCAGGGATGGGAGGGAGGGGTAGGATGTCAGATATGACGCGAGCGCACCTAGCTTGTCCTCCTCCCCTCCCCCTCCTCCTTCTCCTCCTCCTCCTCCTCCTCCTCCTACTCCTCCTCCTCCCCCTGCTCCTCCTCCTCCTCCCCGCCCCTTTCTTCTCCTCCCACCCCCCTCCTCGCCTTCGCTCTCACCCTCCTGCCCCACTTCCCTCCTCTTCTCCGCCCCTCCTCGCCTCCACTCTTGCCCCCCCCCCCCCCTCCCCTCCTCTTCTCGCCCCTCCCCCTCGCCTCCACTCTTTCTCTCCTCGCCTCCACTCCTCTAGTCGCTCCCTCCGCTCCTTATCCCCGCCTCGCCTCGTCCTCCCTTCCCTTCCGCTCCTCCACCGCCCCTCCTCGCCTCCTCGCCCCGTCCCTCCCCGCTCCCCCCCAGAGGGGACACTCAAGATGAGGCTCTCTTGAGATCCCAGGCCCCCCCCCCCCCACCACTCGACAGGCGAGGTCCGCCACAATCCCCCGTTCTCGAGGAGGAGGAGGAGGAGGAGGAGGAGGAGGAGGAGGATGAGGAGGAGGAAGAGGAAGAGGAGGAAGAGGAGGAGGAGGAGGAGGAGGAGGAGTAGGAACAGGAGGAGGAGGAGGAGGAGGAGGAGGAGGAGGAGGAGGAAGAGGAGGAGGAGGAGGAGGAGGAGGAGGAGGAGGAAGAGGAGGAGGAGGAAGAGGAGGAGGAGGAGGAGGAGGAGCACACCTACTCCCTTCGTTGTAAGGGCGTCCCTCCTCATCTCTTCATGGCGCCGACACCCCTCACACCACGCAGGGCGCCCCCCCCCCTCCTCTCTGGGGATGGGAAAACACACATACACAAATCACAGTCGACTCCCAGGAACATCTGGGAAATCTGGGAAGTGTGGGGGGGGGGAAGACGAGAACCCCGAACATATGGGAACACATGGGGCATACGGTTATTTGTGTCTATTGATTTGTGTGTCCCAGGGGCCCTTCACTCTCCCCTCCTCGTAGCCAGGAGGTCTCCCTGAGACCTTAGGGCGCCTCCCCTTGCCCATCCGCCTCGGATAGGCCTCCGCAGAGACCTCCCCAACGGGAAGTGGAGGTCCCGGGGAGGCCTCCCTTTGGAGGAGACCCCTCGGGGTGGAGGGGAGGCCTCCCCGAGACTCTGCCTCCCCGCCTGCTCTCCCCGTCCGTGGCTCCACAGTGATCGCTGAGGTTCACTGCGTAAGCTGTTGGGAGCCTCTTTGCCCAGTGCTTGGTGTCGTGTGTTCAGATAGCAGGGAGGCTTGACACTGGTGTGTGAGGTGTACGGTGCCCCTGGAGGAGAACGCGGCAGGATCGCTGGATGCCAGTTGTAGATGAACCTGGCGAGAGAGGGAACGAGGGGAGAGGGCGGGAGAGGATACCAGACATGGACATACCTATACACATACACCTATATGTTTAATTATATGCACATATATCTATACAACGAGGGAGGGGGGGGGGAGAGAGAGAGAGAGAGAGAGAGAGAGAGAGAGAGAGAGCGAGAGGGGCCATGGACATGTACGCACAGTGAAAACGAGGGCATGCTTATCTACATGCACACACACTTATTTATTTTAGTGGTGCTTGCATACATATATATACACACACGTAGACCGAGAGAGAGGGCGTGCGTGGGAAAGAGAGAGAGAGAGACATACCGAGCGAGAGAGAGAGAGAGAAAGTGAGAACGAGAGAGGGAGATATTGATACAGGGAGAGAGAGGCAGAACAAGAGGCATGCATATACAAATCGGTGGTCATGAGGACGAACATGCGAAGGAAGATACAGTTGGAGAAGCTGGAGGAGGGCCAGGCGGAGGATGAGCAGGAGTCGACTAATTTTTCGAAGGAGGGGTGAGGGGAGTAGAGGAGAAAGAGAACGCTGAAGAGGCGGAGGGGCCGAAGCAGCTTGGGGAGGAGGAGAAGGGCGGTGAGGGCGAGGTGGAACGGAGGAGTCCTCGAACTTCGTGTCATCGAGTCCTCAAACCTCGAATCCTCGAACCTCGCTCGAGCGACGCTGACGGCGCGGCGCCCAGCGGCTTGCCGCCAGTTGCCGCGTTGCCGACAGGACGAGAAGGGGCGCTACACAATGCGGATGCGTCTGAAGGGAGAGGGGGAGGAGGAGAAGGCGGCGGCGGAAGCAGGCGGAAGGAGGGCTCCATGGCGGAGGCCTACGAGAACAGCTCCCAGCCCGTGCAGGAGGCCGCAAAGAATGGGACCGACCCCGAGAAGGCCCTCGACGCGCTGGAGGTGCTACGGCGCTGGGGCTCGATCGCCAAGGACACGGAGATCATGGTGCGCGCGACGCGGTGCTTCAAGGTGAAGCTGGCCGAGGGCGACGTGGAGCAGGTGCGCTGGATCTGGGCAGTCAACTACCACCCCGAGCTCAAGCTCGCGCTGTCCACCCTCAGGGACAACGGCGGGCTCAAGGCGGCAGGAATCCTCCTGGGCCACGACTACGGTCAAAGGTCCAAGGTGGCAAAGCAGATAGAGGAGCTCGCCTTCCGAAAAAACGACACGCAGAAGTCGAAGGGCGCCAAGAAGCCCAAGAAGAAGTAGACACTCCCTCGGCCAGTTCTAAGTGCAGAACTCTCCCAGACTTGTTTTAACGCCAGAGACTCAGCAATCTTGTTCAGTGATGATGGGTATATCTAATCATTATCGTATCCCGTGCTCGTCGGCCTCTTTGACCTCTCAGACGACTGGCCGCAGTCGATCAGCACGGGGTGTGGGACGACCAGCATGTTGTACAACAGGCTCCAAGGGTGGAGCGTGTTCGTGCCAGGGAAGTCGCTCGTCCCTCAGGCCCCGTGCGTTTGCCTCCCTCTCTCTCAGTTCAGTATCTTAGTGCTCCTGAGTTTGCGAGTTTTGATGGGGAGCGGCCCCCCGACCCCAGAGGGGGTTCGGGTGCCGCTCTCACGGTGCCGCCTCCGCAGAGGCGGGGGCGCGTGGGAGTGGGGCGGAGACCCATCCGCTCGTGCTGCGCGCGCACCCGTCGTGGGCCCATCGTTCGCGATATAGGATCTCGAATGCGCCGATATCGGTAGTTTTTCATCTAGGCCCCTCACGAAGCGTCCTTTCCTGAAGGCTCCTGGGCGCAGTGGTTTGAAAAAAAGGAAGGAGGGCTCCCGCCGTGAGAAGGCACGATGAGTGTTTGGCCTGTGCGAGCCCTTACTGGGCCCTGGAACAGGCAACAAAACGACTCGGGACTGAGAAGGCTGGTCCCAGGGAAGGGCTCCAGATCGCTGGGGGTCCAAGCCGTGAAACAAATCACGATCTTGGAGTTTGGGGAGGAGGCGGAGGAGGAAGAGGACAAGGATGGTGGAGAGGAGGGTCGCCGCCAACGACGACTACGCCGACGACAACAAATGCCCGCAGACGTCCAGGAACCTCGAATCTTCCATCCTCGATCCTGGACCGGATGAGACCGAATCTAAGGAGGCGGAGGAGGAGGAGGAGGAGGAGGAGGGAGGAGGAGGAGGAGGAGGAGGAGGAGGAGGAGGAGGAGGAGGAGGAGGAGGAGGAGGAGGAGGAGGAGGAGGAGGAGGAGGAGGAGGAGGAGGGAGGAGGAGGAGGAGGAGGAGGAGGAGGAGGAGGAGGAGGAGGAGGAGAGTGAGGAGGATAAGGAGGATGAGGAGGAGGAGGAGGAGGAGGAGGAGGAGGAGGAGGAGGGGAGGAGGAGGAGGAGGAGGAGGAGGAGGAGGAGGAGGAGGACCAGAAGGAGGCAGAGGAGGGAGGAGGAGGAGGAGGAGGAGGAGGAGGAGGAGGAGGAGAGGAGGAGGAGGAGGAGGAGGAGGAGGAGGGAGGACCAGGAGGAGGAGGAGGAGGGAGGAGGCGGAGGAAAAGGAGGAGGATGAGGAGGAGGAGGAGGAGGAGGAGGAGGAGGAGGAGGAGGAGGAGGAGGAGGAGGAGCAGGAACATCGAACCCTCCAACGATGGCGACGACGAGAACGCTGGCGGCCGGCGCCTCGCAGGGCGGCCTGCCGCGCCGCGGGTGGCGACGGCCTGGGCGGCGCCGGCCAGGGCGGTGACGTGGTGCTGCAGCGGAGGCCGCCCGCGCGCGCGGAGCTGGGCCGCGCCGACTCCAGCAGTGGCGAAGCGTCCTGGCTCGCCTATAGGCCTACCAGAGAATGTGCTAAGAACCTTTTGTGGTTTGCACGATTTTCTCTTAGAACATTTCTGGCCGGGACTGTCTTGTTTTACCACACCGGGTTTATGTTCGAAGAACACGGTTTTTGCTCTTAGAACTTTTCTGGGTTCTAAGAACATGTCGTGGTAGGCCTATAGGAATGCCGGGACGGTCGGTCCCTGCTCAACCGACGGCGCCACGTTTTGCTGTCGAGGGAACCCAAACATCACTAATGACCAGGCTTATTATGTTGCAGCATACTTTCGACTTGACCACCAGAAAGAATGTCGAGTACCAGGGAAGTACCGATATGGAGGGCTTTTCACAAGTCGGGCCCCGGGAGGCGATGCTCGTCCGACCTTTCGTTGGCGTGTCGGGCAGGCGCTGGGAAACAACATAAGATCAGGCCACCCCATCCAACGCGGAGGCCCTGGACCACCCAGAATTTCGGGTAGGGGGTGTACCGTGTACGGGTTCCATGGCGTTTTTTCTCAGTCTTCTGGAGTGCCCCCCCCACCAGAATTCGACGAGCCCGCCGGTGACTTCTGGTCGGGTAGGGGTGGCTTGGCGGGCAGTCCAGACGTGCTCGCGTCGTGAAGAAATCAGGACGGGATGCTTTTCATCGTCTTCGGGCCTCTGGGGCCTCGCCGGGCCCAGGAACACAATACGACTCGGGATGAACAACCGGTTCTGAGGAACGGGTCGGAACTTCTGAGGACCGGGAAGAATCCAGGTCTCCCAGATGGTGTCCGAGTAGGTGGGGTCGGAGGATCGCGCCGCATCTCCGATGCATCGCCGATGTGGCTCGATGTGGAGCCCGATTTCCTCCATGCCGACGGCGCCGATGCATCGCCGACATCGCGGGTGCAGGGACTATCTTTCTCATGATGGTAATTGGTAACTGGATGAGGAGGATGAGAAGGAGGAGGAGAGGGAGGAGGAGGACGAGGAGGAGGAGGAGGAGGAGAATGGGGAGGAGGAGGGGGATCAGGAGGAGGAGGAGGGGGGGAGGAGGAGACATAGGAGGAGTGGGAGGGGGAGGAGGAGGAGGAGGAGGAGGAGGATGAAGAGGAGGATGATGATGATGAGGAGGAGGAGGAAGGGGAAGGGGGATGCTGATGATGCTGATGATGCTGATGATGCTGCTGCTGCTGCTGATGATGATGATGATGATGCTGATGCTGATGCTGCTGAGGATGATCATGACTATGATACTGCTGCTGCTGATGCTGCTGCTGCTTCTGATGATGCTGATGCTGCTGATGCTGATGATGATAACGACGATAATAATGCTGCTGCTGATGCTGCTGCTGCTGATGATGATGATGATGATGATGATGATGATGATGATGATGATGATGCTGATGATGATGATGATGATGCTGATGATGATGATGATGATGATACTGATGATCATGCTGCTGATGATGATGCTGCTGCTGCTGCTGCTGATGATGATGATGATAATGGTGCTGCTGATGATGCTGATAAGTCGTGTTCCTGCAAACTGAGCGTTTGTTCTGCTAAGTGCGCTTCCGATGCGCCTGATCCTGTTGCCAGCCCCGCCTCCTGCTACTGGTGTTGCACTGTAGTTCACGCCAAGTTGCATGGTCAGCTCGGGAAAGCAAGTCTACCTCCTCCTCTTCCTCCTCCCGCTTCTCATCGTGCTCCTTCCCTCTCTCTCTTTATCCCCTATCCCCCGCGGTGGAAACCTCTGTCCCATGCCCATCTGCATTTGCATTTTGCGCATGCAATGTGCATGCATGGAATGCCAATTCATTACATTGCATGGCGTTGCTTTACAACGCGTGGGATTGCATTGGTGTCGCATCACTTTCCCCTGCGCTGCGTTAGCGCTGCGTTGAGAGATCATCGCATTTCTGGGCTGCGAGTTGCCAGGGCCGAAAGTGGCCAGGCCCATGTGGCCTGAGACATCCTCGCAACTCTGGTATTGGAGACGTCACGCGCGAGGTGGTCCAGTCTGTTATGCCTGAGACATCCTCGCAACTCTGGGTTCAGAGATGCCCCTTACCTGAGGAGGTTCAGCCCGTTTCGCCTTGGACATCCTCGCATTTCTAGGCTCAGACATGCCGCGCGCGAGGTGATCTGGCTAATATTACTTCAGACATTCTCGCCAGGGACATCCCCCCCAACTCGGCCAGATGCCGCGCGCGAGGTGGTCTGGCCAATTTGACCTGAGACATCTTCGCAACTCTTGGATCCTAGACGCCGCGCTCGAGGAGGTGCTGCCCAGCTAGCTTGAGGATTTTTGAAGTTCCGGAGTCATTTATATCCTGGACCGATGTGGTCCAGCCCAGTTCGCCCGAGTCATCTTCGCAACTCTCGGCTCAAAGATACTCCAGACTTCGTAATAAAAGGGAGGGGGTCTGGACCCTCCAAGACAAGCCATTTCAGACCTCCCCCGTGGGAGAACCCTCCAAAACATCGTCCCCAGACCCCCCAGGCCCTCCAAGATAGCCTGGAAGAGACCCCCCCCCGAAATGAGACCCCCCTCCCTTTATTACGAAATCTGGAATACCTTTCGCGAGGTGGTCTGGCCCATGTGCACCACCACCAAAAGCATCATCGCAGCTCTGGGATCGGATATGCTCTGAAATGAGTTGGTACAGCCCGATTTGCCTGGGACATCCTCGCGGCGGTCCAGCTCAATTCGCCTGGGGTATTCTCGCAACTCTGAAATCCGATATGCCAGGCGCGAAGTAGTCCAGCCAAGCTCGCCTGAGACATCCTCCAAACTCTGAGTTCCGAGATGCCGCGCGCGAAGTGGTCCAGCTAATTTTCCGTGAGACATTATCGCAACTTTGGGCCCCAACATGTCACGCGCGGGTTCAGATACACTCCGACCTGAAGTGGTCCAGCCCGTTTCGCCTGAGACATCCTCGCAACTCCACGCTCAACGATGCCGCGCGCGAGGTGGTCTGGCCCGTTTCGCTTGAAACATTCTCGCAACTCTGGTTTCAGAATTGCTACGGTTTGATGTGATCTGGCCCAAATCGCCCGAGACATCCTC